ATGTGTGTGTGTGTCTCCAGTAGTTTATTGTCACTGTCTTGTGTGTGTGTGTGTGTGTGTGTGTGTGTGTGTGTAAATGACTCCTTGAACTATCCCGGGTGTGTGTGTGTGTGTGTGTCTCCAGTAGTTTATTGTCACTGTCTTTTGAAAGCTGTGGGTTTCACCGCCAGGATCTGAATTGTAACCAACTTTCATGGAGCCAATTCTGACTCATATCGGCTCTGTCGTAAAGAGCTGCCTACAAAGGCGTTTGGTTATTTCATATAAGAATTTTGGCTTTTCATTCTGTCCAGCAAGGGCTCTATCCAAAAAGAATGAAGGAGTGAGGTCAATGCTGGACACCGACGGAGGTGAGCACAGTCCCGCTCGCATGGTTCCTTCCCTCCGTTCACCCTTCCCGCAGCTGCGGTGTGTTTAGTGCTTTTTTTTTTTTAATTTAAACATTTTATTAGGAGCTCATACAACTGTTATCGCAAGCTGCACAGGCCCAGGTGGCAATCTGGCTTCATAGCATCACTTTGGATTTCAGCTCATTTCCCACATGTCTAAAATATTCATTACACTGCCTCTGGCCTCACAGACATAGGGGCAGTGGCAATGTCCACGCCGACCTGAGCATACAACAGAATACCCTGGTAAGCCCAGACGGCTGCCTCCCTCCCCTTTCTGGTTCCGTAGGTCTAGCAAGGGTTCAAGTGTCTGTGTCTCTACTAAATCACCCACCGGGCGGTGATGGTGATGATGCTGGTCCAAAGACCACAGTTGGAATGCTCTAGAAAGATCGGTTGAATTGCAGACATTTTATAGGTTCAGGTAAATAGGTGGTAAGTCCATTGAATAGTTAAGGCATAACTAATTTGCTGATCTGTTAAGCAAAGATCTTAAACGTGTTGTTTTTTTTCAAAAATAGTTTGAAAATATTTCTGTGATTGATTACTGGCCCCTGTGAAGAATTGTAAGGTCTAATTTTGAGCCCGATTCCAGAAAGGGACATCTTGCTTTTTTGTTTCTTTTTCAAAGCAATGTGGCCCCTGGTTTCATTCCAGTAAGCTAGGTGAAACCAAATGGAATCATTGAGGTTCACCTGTCATAGAAAGACGATGCGGCTAGATACAGACACACAGAGTTCTCCAAGCCGAAGGAGGTGGTGATAAAAGAAATTCCCTTATTGATTGTAAAACCTTTTGAGGGTCAAACAGAAGCAGGGCTGGGATGTCTATCAGAAGCAAACGTGAACCCAAGAGAGGAGTGGGTCCCCCAAGACCAGGTGTATGTGTGAGTGGGGGAAGAGAAGATGGCAGGAGGCAGGAGAAAGAATTCTCGAGAGGAGGCGGCTATGAAGAATGGCTCCTGAGTTTCTGCCCATGGCGAGCCCTTGAAGAAAGGCTGACCTCTGAGGAGCCCTTATCTCTGCAAGTTTTCATGCTTTGATTTATCTTTGGGTTGCAAGACCCACATATTTTTGTTTTACTTGGCTTCCTCCCAGAAGCAGGCAAATACGCGAAGTTTCTATTTCTGTGTGTCTCTGAAGTGTTGCAGCACTAGCGAACTGAGGGAAGAACCTTTTCCCTCATTCTTGTAGAAAGCTCCCAACCTTCTGAGGGGACCACCAGGCTCACAGCGCAAGCCCCTGGGTGGAATCGCCTCTTTTCTGGAATGAAAACGCTCTTGTAAAGTCCTAGTGGCCTAATGACTGTGCATCATGGTCATTAATTCAAAACATGCCCCAACTTATTTAGGATGGAAATATATTTTAATGTATTTTATCGGAACGGAAATGCATGTTACCAAGCCTGCCTCTATGAAACACTATCTTCCCAAGGAAAAGCACCGCAGAGCGAGACACTGGGCCAAAGAAGGCCACAGCACACAGAAGTCAGGGTCACTTGGGAAAGAATGGCAGTCCGGGCAGTCCTTCTGGAGTTCAGAAGACCCCAGCCCTCCGCGGACAGATGCATATTCAGTCCGGTTGCGGGGGCGTGCAGGATGCAGAGCACTGCCGTCCCACTTCCGGCTGCTCCTCCAGCTGAGAGCGTTCGTAAGCCAGATCAGTTAGAAGGCACCCAGGGGAGACCCTTTTGTCCCTTCCTATCCCTTCAACCGGACCTTCCCACAGCCCTTGGGACGGGGGCTCAGGGGAAAATGGGATCAGGGAGCTGTGGGCCACCGGGCCACGCTACCTCACCAAAAGATGGGCAGTACACGTGTTGCTGGCAATTAGATGAAGTCAGTGCCGGGAACACAGAGAGGGACTCTCGGGCCTCCCTCCTGGTCATTGTGGTGGCTGCCTTTCATGCGCAGATGGCATTCGCCACGGATTCTGGGTTTCAGAACCTTCCCGTCACCGCCTTCCCACGGCTTCAGCCCGATGGTCCCTTGACCCACGTCCTGGGAAGTCTGCTGTGGCCCCCCTCCTTCCTCTCCTCCTCACTAAAGGCCCAAGGAGTTGAGGCATCAGTGCCCCCGCACCACACCAATGCTCCTTCCCCTTGAGGAGCTTGTGCTGTGTGCCAACCCCTGCCCTGGGTCTTATCTATCTGATCCTGGCACCCTGAGGGACCCTAATCGATGAAACAGAAGCAGGGAACAGTTTATTGATCAGTGGGATAAGCAAGAGATGTGCAATCATCTGTGATAACAGCTATTCTTCAAGCAGCATAAGAAGAATGGAATGTGCTATTGGGGACACATTTCTTGACAAG